ATATTTCCCTTTTGAGTTGACCTATGGCCATCAACCCCATAGCTTAATGGATGTAATTAAAGAGGGATGGAAGGCCAAACAGGTGTTGGGCATACAGGCATCAGGATATGTGAAAGCCCTGAGGCAGAGGCTGCAAACAGCCAAAGCAGTGGCACAGGAAAATTTGACACAAGCTCAGGAGCCAGAAGGAGCACTATAACAAGGGAGCTTGAGAGAGAGGGAATTAAGGATAGGCTAGAAGGTAATGGTACTCCTCTCCAGCTCAACAAGTAAATTTTTAATGTTTGCGAGGGCTCTTTAAAGTTGTGAGGAGAGTAGGACCCATGGATTATGAGGTGTACCAGTCAGGGGCTAACAAAGAAAGGCAAATCTACCATATACATTTGTTAAAATTATGGCAAGACTCAGAAGGCCTTTCAATCATGCTAGACCCTGAACAGGAAGAATTTGGGAAAACAGTAGAAAGCTTTGGCTCTCGCTGGCCTATCATGGAAGAGGCTCCCTTTGGGTCCCAGTTAGAGGAATCTCAAAGGGGTCAGCTGAAACAGTCAAAGATTTTGTAGATTTTAGTGAAGTGCCAGGCCAAGCTAAAGGGGTGAAGCATATGATCATTACCCTGAGAGGGGAATTGGTAAGAGAAAAATGGCGTAGGATCCCCTACCACCAGTATAGAACTATTAAAGAAAAGTTGGACAAGATGCTGGTATTATTACAGAGTCTCGCAGCCCATGGTGTAGCCCACTGATGGTGGTGCCCAAGCCAGACAGGATCCTACAACTTTGTATAGACTCCCAGAGATTGAATGGTTTCTCTCAGTTCAACATGTTCCTTATGCCCCGCATAAGTAAATTGTTTGAATGCATTGGCCAAGCAAAGTTCAGTTCAACCCTAGACCTGTCAAAGGGCTACTGGCAAATTCCCTTACCAAAAAGGCCTTTGGAATACCAAGGCAGGGCTTTTCAAGTTTAAGAAAATGCCATTTGGGCTCAACAGGGCAGCAGCAATGTTTCATCCATTAGTAGATTGGATGCTGGCCTTGCACCAAGAATACTCATCAGCCTACGTTGACAATATAGTCATATACGCCATATCCTGGGACCAGCATATGAGCACCCTAAGAGCAGTTCTGCAAGAGTTAAGACAAACAGGTTTGACAGCAAATCCTTGAAAATGTGCGTTAGGCAAAGCAGAAATGAAATATCTGGTTTCCTGATAGGGCAGGGTTGCATTCAACCCTTAGCAGATAAGATTGAAACAATCAGGACCTATGCCTGACCTCAAAATAAAAGATAGATGAGGGCCTTTTTAGGCCTAGCCAGCTACTATTGGCAGTTTATTCCACTATTCACAAAGGTCCATTGAGGCCACAAGTCCATTGAGGCCATCAAAGGCAGACACATTAAAAGGATGGAATGAAACACAGTGGAGTGGAAGGCCTTTGGAGAAATCAAGACAGCCCTCTGCCAGGAGGTGATACCCCAACTTTTTCACAACTTTTTGGGTTATAGATGGATGCATTGGGAGTGGCTATAGGGGCTGTTTTATCTGGGGAGATAGAGGGATTGGAGCAACCAATTGCCTATGCAAGTCAAAATTGAACATCCATGAACAAAGGTATTCAACCATAGAGCATGAATGTCTAGCTATAGGGTGGAGTGTGGATTACTTTTGATATTACTTACTGGGCCAAGAATTCAAACTGATAACAGACCATGCACCACTAAAGTGGTTAAAAACAGCCAAGGCTGACAATGCTTATATTATACATTAGGCTCTGGCTCTTCAACCTTTTCAGTTTTGTGTTGCATACAGACCAGGAAGACTGAACATAGTAGCGGATTTCCTATCTTGCTACCTACCTGAAGAAGAGGAGCAGTCAGACCCTGAGGGGGACAAGAAGGATGCCCATCATGCAACTACGGCCAAGATAGTCAATTTAGTAAGAGCACCTAGCAGCATCCTGAGGGATGGGATATATGAGGAAGTGAAAGAGGAACCCTGGGCCAAAGTCAGGGCTGCGAGGAGAGCAAGACTCACTCTGAGAGATTCGGAGGTTGGGACTCCAACCGGGACAGCACCGTGGCATTTTCAAAGCTCCCTCTAGATTGGAGGGGGAAGCCCTCAATAAGTGATTTCATGCCCTGGGAGGGGGCAATGGATAAAGAATGCCAGTAGACCAGGAGGCAAAGCACTTTCAGGCTTTGCCTGGTCCAGGAGCAGAAGTTCTCCCACAAGCAGAGAGGAGGACCTGCAGCATCTAGTAACGATCAGGGGATCATCAGACAATGTTGGTGAGTGCAGCAGCAGTGTGATGCAAAAGAAGACCGAAGGCTATGGACCGGAATGGAGACAAGGGGCCATGGCCTGATGGTAATGAAGATTAAAGCCACTCAGCTGTAAAGGCTCAGGGCTGGTAAGTAAGCAGCTGGTGAACCACTGAGGTGCTGGTGGCTTTATTTATTTTTCTTGTGCTCTATGTGATTTTTGTTTGTTTGTTTGTTTGTTTCCAGCCAGCATCCTTTGAAAGGTCCTATGAAACGGGAGAGAGACCTGAGGACTATTGCACTGGATTAAAGGCCGGCACACCCCCTCAGAGGGCCAGCTAAGAGGGAGCCCGGAGACCACTTACTTATTGCTCCAGGCAGGAGCTTATTGGGGACTGCGGTTTTGGGGTTTTTTTTGAGGATTTCCTTCATTTTCTTTCCCCGACGCTTGCTTTGTTTGACTGAGCTCTAGTGGGCCTGGAGTAAGACGTGTCTGTGACTAGCCGTCATGTGTCTGTGGACAAGCGACTGTGTCAGGACAAAAGCCTCCAGTCAAACCCTGACTGATTGGGGCCAGAAGTAACTGGTTTCATCAAGTGGGGATAGCCCATATGGGTGGAACCAGGATGAGTCTAATTTATCAGCCACGTATCAACCTAAGTCGTTCACTGATGGTACCTTTCTCTTTCTCTCCGTGTTGTTAGCTGTGGAGGTAAGGGCTGTAAGGGAAAGGAGGAGCCCCCTGAAGATCCAGGGTGGGACTTTTAGAAAGTGGCTGTCAGTACAGTCCATCTCCTAACAAGCAAAGTGTTAGACCCCGACTCCATGCGGCGCCCAACGACTAGGGAGACAATGGTCCAATTTCTCATGGATCCTGGTACTCATTAGCCAGAGCAAGCAGGGAGCAAACACCAACACACATTGCTCACAACAGCTTTATTCAGAATGGAGACAGCTTTGGACAAGGGTCCCTCACAGACACACAGCCTGTGAACCAGGGGACCTGCCCTGAACAATAGTTCTTACCAACATTTATACACCTTGGCTCATACTTATTAACATTCACCCCGCCTATGTCCCTCCTTCAGTTCCACCCATTTCTCCTCCCATCTCAAGCTCCACCTCTGTTTACTGTTTGCTTCCTTAGCATGGTATTTCCTATGCATTTCATTCATTTACATGCCTCTCTGCTAAGAGTGTGTGCATAAGACTTTGACCCCTATCTTCTTTCGGTCACTTGCAGTTTCGCTCCGGT